ATGGGGGGTAGGGTCAATTATGGACCGATCCTCATAAAATTTTGAAGGGAGATTTGGGATCATATGAAACTTATTTATGTCGAATTTCATCGCTATACTCGTACTTTTGAAACAGATATGCCCATGAATGTTGTTTTTCGGGGGTCCACTTGTATGGGGGCTATCCGAAAACGTGGACCGATATTGCCTATTTTCAATACCAAACAAACCTTACCTATAGAGAATATTTGTGGAAAATTTCAATCCTCTATCTCGTTCCGTTCAGACTCTATCGTGCTTTCAACAGAAAGACAGACCGACGGACTATGACGGACAGCTAGATCGGGTCTATGATCAATATTTCGATGTGTTACAAACGGAATGACAAAATCAATATACCCCCCATCTTTTTTGATGGTGGGTATAAAATACAATGGAAATATTCGAATTTGTACTGACAGTAAACCTGCTATAAAATCTTTATCTGCTATCTACACGATATCCAGACTGGTTCGCCAATGTCGGGTGAGTCTTGACCAAATGGCGAACTATTCGTGCCTAGAACTACCCTGGGTACCGGGACACTCTAATATTCCCAGAAATAGAAAAGCGGACTAACTAGCAAAAACTGGTTCAGGACTGAGTTTCTAGGCAGTCCAATATTGCATGAAGTTGCTACTCTTTCTAATATAGACATATGGGCAATTCCATGAAAATGTAAACCACGACTGAAAAAATAAAACCCCTATAACTTTTGCATTTTTGAAGACAATTCAACAAAATTTGGTATATGATATTTTGTAGCACCAAAGACGAATACAGTTAAAAATTTTGGAAATCGGTCTATTTTTACACCTCGCCTCCATACAAACGGACTCGCAAATATCTTTTTAGCTCATAATTCTGCAAATTATAATACTATCCCTTCCAAAATCGGCAAGATCTAAAATGTATATAAGCCTAAACAATTATGCCGATTTTCATATCGATTGGACCTCATTTGATCCTAGTTCCATTCAATGTTTAATTTCAGAAAAACACTTAAACGTCCGTAACTCACTTATAAGCACTAGTATTATAATAAAATTTGGCACAAATAAGTTTTATATGAATAAAAATCCCACCCCAAAATTTTATGATCGCCATATAAATTCTGTTTTTTATTTTTATTTATAAATTCCTTAAACATGTATATAGGTCGGCCATGTCCGACTGCACTTTCCTACTCCTTTTTATTTGTTGAGGTGTGTGTGTGCATATATTTCCAAAATATATATTTTATAAAAAATTGTGGAGAAAAATCTGTCACCTACGATGTGTCATGTACGATATTAAAAAAATGTTCATTATAAAATTATATTAATTTTTTTTATTTAAACATTAGGAATTACAAATGAAAAATATGTCCCATAGGGTAAGAAATTAAAACAAAAAAGATACACCTACAGAATTCGCAGATTTACATGTACTTTAAAAACACTTCCGTTTTTCGTCACGAATGATATCGCCATATTTTAATCCATATTTTGGAAAACAAGTTTCCGAATGGGATGATTCCTTTTGCAAATATAGTATTCTCTGAATGGAGCAGAATACAAAATTGTTTTCCAAGTACTCCTATTTTTACCAAATCTATACCACTCTGAAGGCGTACGAACGTCACATACAATCGTATGGAATTGCCCACATATAAGACAGAATCGTTCATTCGTGCCTCTGGCTGGTTTAATACCATGTCAATCACGGACATGTAATGTCCCATAGGTTTATTTTCTTTTTCGCAGGATCCGTTACAAGGTATCACAACGGGACCACTAGGACCCAAGTGAGTCGGTCAAATGGCCGACTGCTTCAATAACCTAACCTGCTGTAGACAATCTTTGGCCGCGTATATTTTGGGTCGTCCGGCAGCGGAAAAGCAATAGTCTAAAGTAGTTTTTTTTGTCATTGAAATTACAAATTTGGAGACAGAATGTAAACATCTTTATTGCCTAATACACTCATTCTCTCAACAAAAACAAATTAAGTTGTCTCCTGGCAATTGGATTTTAAGAAAATGCAAGAATGTCTCAAGCAAATGGTAACATAAAGAATGTCGTAAAAACTTAATAACTGCTAAAATCTAGTTGTGTTAAGATATTTCGAAACTCTTTCATGGATTTTGTGATAATCTTTAAAACTTTACATTGAATTTAGTTTTTGCGTAATAATAAAAATCAGCTGTGTTACCTATTTTACAATAAACAATAAAAGATTGCTCCCGCTTTTTATAAAAAAGACGGTGTAAATATAATAGGGTATTAAATATACTGCCAAGAGTGAAAACCGCAAAGTATTATAATACAAGTGTAACGTCAGTCATTATCATTATTTGTGGCGAGTAAAAATTACTATTTTGTTGTTACGCCCTTTTGAATTTCATGTTAATAAAGACGGTGTTTTTTGACAATATAGTTCTAAAAATTTGCGACAACATGTATTTTGATGTAGTGGACTATTTTCAATCAAAATGTCTACTTTCAATTTTTTGGTTGTTACGACCTTTTGCATTTCAGGTGACGATATAAAACTAAGTTTTGCCGATTTTTTTAGATATAAGTACAACATTTAACATAATTATGAGCTCAAAAGCCCTTTTTTTATTTATTTAAGATTTATTTTTACAATCGAGCCTATTAGTTTCGCCATATATGATTGCATAGACTAACAATTAATAATTATTATTAGTTTTAATTATAGAAATTCTGAAAATATGAGAAAAAAGAGATTAAAGATAGTATAGAAAGATTAAAATAATTGAGAAAGTACAGGGAAAGAATACATAATAATATATATTTATTATGTAAATATTTATATCAAATGACAAACAACAAAGTTATTGACAATTTCCCTAGCCATATATTCAAAATGTCATGATTTTTGTTTGGCCTTTGTTTTGCATGCAAAAGTGATGGAAACAAAAATATGTATATATCAAAAAAAAAACTAAAATATGAATTAATTAGTCGTTTTTGCTACATATTTGTGAAGAGAAAATGTGTATAACATTGTTATTTATCACTCGATGTTAATATTTTATACCTTGTTGGAAAGATAATGGTATAATTTAAAATTAAAAATTATAATTTTAAATTAAAAACGTCCTATTATTTACCCAATTTTACACTTTTAACTCGACTCAGAAAGTGTTTCTGAGCCGAGTAGAACGTGAGACTAATATTTTTGAGTGTTACAAACATCAGTACAAACGTATCCCACACTTATAGTGGTGTAGGGTATAATTAACATATCTCAGAAACAGCAATAGCTAAAGTCCTTAAATTTTATATGGAAAATTTTGACATCAATATGAACATTTGGGGACAACATTGACGGACTGGCTATAGTGGGAGTGCCCCTCCCAAATAAAGAAAATGTTTAATCAGTATATCTGAGAAATTATAACAGTTATAATCCTAACGGAGCCACTTTAGTGTCATCATGAATATATAAGATAGAAATAGGTGGACTCCCTCATGAATTAAATACAAAAAATCGTATATCTGGGAAACCATTAGAGCTAGAATTCTAACATTTTACACGGGCAATATTAAAATCCAAATGAACAATCTTGGGGAAAATGGTCGGACTAGAGTGAGGGAGTGTGGCACCTCCCATATGAATTAAAGGCAAAATTCATATATATGGGAACCTATTGGATCTAGAATCAAATTTTGCACGAAGAAATTTAAACTTCATGTTAACATTTGGGTAATAACTTGGCGGATAAACAATAGGGGCGTGACACCACCCATGTGAATTAAATACAAAAATTCGTATATCCTCAAAACCGTTAGAGTTAGAATAGTCAAACTTTGCACGAGCAACATTGAAATACATAGGGGGCCCGGCAACACTATATTAATTATATACAAAAATTAGTATATCTGGGAAACTATTACTACTAGAATCTTCAAACTTTACATGTACAACTTTAACAGCAAAATGAACATTTGTGTAACATATTGGCGGATAAAAATAAGAAGTGTGGTACTTCCCGTATGAATTAAATTTAAAAATTCGTATATCTAGGAAACCGCTAGAGCTGAAATCCTTAAATTTTACACATGTAACATTAAAATACATATGAACATTTGAAAAATTTGGTGAACTTACAATAGTGGACGTTGCACCTCCCATGTGAATATAATACTAAAGTGAATAATATTATTTTATGGGTAGCGAAGCAATCTGGATATAGCTAGTATAAATAAAATATTAAAACAATATGAATAATCAAAATTATTTGTAATAACACAAAAATCTCATTTGATTAAATTAACAATTTGAATTAATTTTTGAAGTTTTAATGAACTTTGTAAACTGGGTAATAGGTTGAATTTAGGAAGGCATTTAGTATGTTATCAAAAAAAGTTCTTAAAATTAAATTCACTTTGCACTACTGCAAAATGTTTTTGATTTTACACTCTACTTCAACAGATCCAAGTGTGCTTTTTTGCAGCATAGATACCTAACCTAACACTTGTCCATTGGATCGTATTAATTCTGGAACTAGTTGAAAAAATCTCAAAAACATAAAATATTATGAATACCCTAATATATACTGACTCTTAGAATTGAAGAATGTTATTATTTGTTCAGAGACGTTTGTGTAGAGATTTTATAATTTTAGATAATATTATAAAGTCTGGTTTATTATTAACAACATTACGCAAAAGTACGTATGTTGTATCTCATTTCAAAGAATTGTTTAAACATTTGTTTAAACTTTCCTTTTGTATTTGCTGAATATTTATCCATATAGTCTCGATGTACCCATACGAGTACAGCCTAAAAATTGTATTTATTTTTTTTAATTAATTAATTGCAACTAAAAAATTTTATTGGGTAATGTGTTCATCAAACGTCTAAAGAGAGAAATACATGCGCAATTGGCAAATACATGACACAGACTACAACATTTCTTTATTTTCAACTAGTATACATATATTGTATAATAATATTCTAATAATAATTCTTACCAATAATTGTACTTTGTGCAAGCTTCCTTGACTTGGTTGTTGCATAATATTATTAATTTCGTCATACAGTTTAGATTCATTAATTTTCGCAGGCTTGATTAAGAACATATCCGATTCCATGGTTTTTAAATTATTTTTGTTTTCATCAATTATTTTTCTCTCTGATTCCAGAATTTCCTTGTTGCATTTCAACATTAGTTGCTCTAATTCAATTTTATCCATGCGCTCCTTAACATCTCTTTCATGCTCAATACGGTTCGTTTCAATGTGAGACAATGCGATTCGCTTCTCCTCCTCCAATTCAAGACGTAATTTTTCTTCCTGAGTTTCAAGTACCTCCTGATAGGCCTGATAAAAGTCAGCCATCTAGAAAAAATATAAACTTTATAATTAGGCTAAGTAATTTTTTAAAATCGTGAATTCAACTCACTTTCTTTTTCTTCTCTTTCTGCGAACAAAAAGGATTAGAAACTCGGAAAAAATGAGACCCTCCAATAACTAACCGATCTCCATGAAAAATTTGTTTCTTACTTTTGACTAATTCTCCATTTAAATATGTTTCAAAATCTTCGTTTTCTGGGGTAACATAAAGTTCGCCATTTATATTTTCAATAATACTGAAATATAAAGATTTTAAGCATAAAAACATTATAAATATTTTCATTATTACCAATGATTGTGAGCTACGAGTGGTCCATCAAGAATTATATCTGGTTTTGTACCACTTAAGGTAGATCTTGTTCGCCCAATTTTCACACATCCCCTTGGTATTATATAAAATAGAGTTTCAGTTAGCATTGGATCTTCTGTTAAATTGATCAGACAAGCATGTTTCTGTTCTTTATCTAGTTCTATTGCAAGCCCTTTTCGCTTAAGTAAATGTAGACCAGATTTTCTTAAATCGTCAGCCTCTTTCAAACGTTCCATCCATGATTTTTGTGCAAGCTGAAGTTCTTTTTCTCTTTCTGAAAGCTGTTCTCTTAGACTCTCAATTTCAGTTTCATTTATATTTGAAGTCTCAATTACAATTGTTCTTGGAGTTGCATTTGTACTAATAGAATGCCGCTTCTGGCGTTCGTATTCATAGTGCAACGATTTTAACCTTTCAACTTCAGATTTTAATTCTCTAATTACTTTATCGTGCTCAGATTCATTTACTTTCACTCTATTTACTATGCGGCGAGCTTGGCAAGCATATCTTAGAGTAGCCAGTGTTTCATCTACATGAATACTTGCAGGAGATATGGTTGCTAACATAACTGTTTTTGAATTACCTCCAAGATTTTCCTGAAAATAAATGTTATTAAAAGCTATGTTTGTATGTTTATTATAGAAATCCACTTTCCAAGAACTCAAAACGATTTACAGAATGAATAAAATCAAGATATTTTTCAAATTATGGGTGTATAAAATATTTTTTTTTATATAGTTATGACAGCCAAACGATTAAAAGTTTACGTCAAAGAATATAAAGAAATTGGGGCTTGTCAATTGGTACCTAAAGGAGTTGTCATTCGGTACCTAACTCTAAGAATGTATTGGTTGAATTTTTGTACAAGTATTGGAGCTCCAACCACTTAAAAATTTTAGTACTTAAAAATTTTAGGAAAAATATATTACATTTAAATTTCTAATTTCGCAGATTTTTAATTTTTTTAGCTCACATCTTATTAGTAAATATTTAATTAATATATTTTTCAGACTTTAAATCTCTTTTATTTGAAAAATTTAAGTTTTTTTTTAAAACATTTTTTATTTTCTATAACAAAATTTACAACTTCGTTTTTTCTATTTTAATTTCAACACACAAAAATTTATTGTCAAAAAAATTAAAAAAATACTTTTTTCGTTTGTTAAAAATAAAAAGATTTTGGTTTGTTAAATACGTTAAAAGTGTGTAAAAAAATACAAAATTTTATGAGTGTGTGCAAAAAGACAAGTCCTATTATCCTGATGTTTTCGCAAAAAAGTTTTGAAGTATTGTGAGAAAGGTAAGTGTTTCGGCGTCAATCCGATTTGGTTCAGTGTAAATGCACAAAAAGAATAAAACACAAAGAATTATTAGTTTTATAAAAGGAGAAGATTTGTCTTCCGTTATTTATATATTACCTTAAGCATGTATGCACAACAAGAAGTGCTCTTTAAGGTTTCTGTATGACGAAAAGTAAACAACTACTTATTTCTAAGTGTGGAGGCTAACAAAGTTTAAATACAGTTAGCGGTTTACTCGTTGAATTAATAATAGTTTTCCATCAAAGATGTAAACTAAAGTAGTAAATCATTAGGATTTACACTTAGAGGAAAAATACCGCAAATAATCGATTTGTACTTAAACATTGCCGGCCCCCTTGCAACACTTAAGGTGTTGTAACTAAATAAATGATGAGTCATGAAGGACTCTCGTGGACTGTTTTTTCCAAATTAAAATGAGCCATGATCAGACTCCAGTTTTTTCTACTTGGGTCATTATGGACCCGTTTGAGCCATGATGAGACTCTGGTTGAGCCATGATGAGACTCTGGTTGAGCCATTAAGAGACTCTTGTTGAGCCATGATGAGACTCCGGTTGAATCACTAAGGACTCTTGCTAAATTAAAAATAATTTAGGAAAAGGTTAGTAAAGTAAATTGATATATAGTAGTGATCATTTAGGAATTCAAAACAACAAGTCTGCCATACAAAGCGATCAATAGTAAAATTACTTAAAAATTCTTCTTTCCATCTTTTACGTTTCTATTAATACAGCGTTTGGGATAGACGTAAATCTCGAATTATCTATATTTAAATATTACCTCGTAAAAGGTTACAATAAGTGTTTGCACGTAGTGCCCTGTCGTAGACAAAATGAAAAAATAATGATTTACAAACATTTTAATTAGTAGCGGTTCTATTATAGATTGATAAACTAACTAGTTCCTACATCATTTGGGTTCATTACGATTCCATGTTGGAATGTAGCTATTTTTAGTTGGCCTATATCTTTCCTTCGTAGGAGATGAATTAATACTATTTACAGGACCGGTTAATATCCAACCAAATACGGTTTTTTGAGCCAATAATGATCCTAGTACTTTTTTCCTAATTCCGGGTAAAATAAGCTGGGGGTATACATCAGCTCCTAATAATAATTCCACGGGTCTGCTCCCGAAGGGATTCGAATCTGCCAAATGAAGATTTGGCAATTTGACGGCATTAACCGAAACCGAAGGCAGATTTCCCGAAATGTTTGGCAAAACAGATGCCGAAGTGTTTAATAAAAATGATGAATCAGTACTAGAACCTATCACCAAATTACAAGTCTTCATCGAAATGGCCGAAAATTCCTCATTTACGCCTGAAAACTTCGCTGTTTCGGAAATGGTTGGAAGCTTTAAACTTTTCCTCAACTTTTCAGAAATGATAGTGCATTCTGAAGCAGGGTCAATTAATGCTCTAACTTGATACCTACAGCCATTGTGTATCAAGTCGACTGTTGCTGTACCCAAAAGAACAGAATGATTCCTACGAGTATGGAATACTTGTCGTTCAGTCATGGTGCCTGTCGTAGTAGGTCTTCCAGCTGTTGTACCTGACAAAGTGGGCAGATGGTCATTAGGAGTTGGATTAGTGGGTCGTAGAACCACACTAGAATTGTCATCTAATGAAGTAGGAGGTACATTGCTAGTCAGTGTACCCAAAGGAGTAGAATAATTTTGACTAGTATGAAATACTTGTCGTTCAACTATAGTGCCTGACGTAGTCGGTCTTTCTACCAATGCAGTTGACGTGTTAGTAGGTCGTTGGTCATTAGGAGTGTGATTGTATGGTCGTAAAACCAAAGAAGAGTTGTCGTCTAATGACTCAGGAAGAGCATTTCTAGAGTTTTGCGAAGCTGAAGAATTCCGATGTAGTGAAGTATGGTGCCGCTTATTACAAATAGAACAACGATGTTCACTTAAACAATCATTAACTTCATGTGAGTTAGCTAGACAATTTATGCAGCAATGAAATTTTTTAACCGTTCTAAATCTCTCAGGAATAGACATTCTATCAAACTGACGGCAAAAACGAAGTAAATGACCCGGTTTTTTACATAAAACACAAGCATTCGTAGGACTTGTATTCAAAACATGTGTCTTTTCCTTGCGTTCAATGCCTTCCTTATCAGTATTGGAACTCTTAAGATCGCGTATGCAATCTAACGTTTGGATTCTTTCGGTCAAAAACATGTCCAAATCTTTCCATAAAGATAAGGCAGTTTTGTCCTTAACACTTTGTTCCCATAGAGTCACTGTCTGAGAGGGCAGTCTTTGTATGCAAATAAAAACGATAATTGGATCCCAATTTTGAGTGGGAATCTCATATATCGACATAGCAGTTAAAAATCCATTGATTCCGCGCTGTAACCTTTTCAAAGAGGAACTAGTCTCTTCTGTTATTGTCTCTAAACCAAACAAACACTTTAACTGATTATTAACTAGCATTCGAGGATTTTCGTATGTATCTTTTAAACTTTTCCACGCTATATCAAACCCAGCATTAGTCAACGGACATTTAGATACAATTTCTCTCGCTTCGTTATCTGTTCTTTTCACTAAATAACATAATCGTTCGATATTACTCAGCCGACTGTTATTAATATATAAAGCAGTGAAAAGATCCCTAAATGTAGGCCATGAGAGATAATCGCCGTTGAAGATGTCCGTATCACATGGCGGAAGAGGTAGATTATGACTAACATTATCAAAATTTGAATCATTGTTTGGATGATGGGAAACTTTAGGCTTAGTCTTTGCTTCCAATTCATCAATCTTAATTTTTATCGACTTTGAACATCGCGCATAAACATTAAGGGTACTCTGGAATTTACTTTCAGCCACTTGAATATCTTCTGGCTCAGCGTCTTCAGAAGATTCAAGATCGTCTAAACACTTATCGAAAGTAATTTTCACCTTTTCCCAACACATCTTCAATTCACTTTCCAAAACTTCGAAGTAGTACACGTGATGTTCTTCCTCGCGTATATTATTAAAGTTTGCCTCAAATTTTATAACGGCGTCTGAGGCACGAGTGAAACGTTCGAGGGCTGTCAAAGGCATTTTTCACAATTTTAAGATTGGATTTATTTTGGTAAAATACTATAAAAATAGGAAGCAGCTTTCAAAAATCACAAAAAATCGAAATTGTATTGTTACTTTCCAAACAAATTATTAAAAGTCAAATCGACCGACCGTAGGGTAACTAACAATAAATTAGTAAAAGGAGGAAGAAGAAGAATTTTATCTTTCACAACACAATTACTAATATTAAATTTGTGTGAACAAACCTTGCATTAAATGCAGTCACGAATTATTTTGATCACTATTTATTTCACTCAAAAGTTAACACCAAAATAATTTTCTTTAAATAGTGAAAAGTTAATTTTTTATTAATTTGCCGAAAAACAAATGCAATTTTTAATTATCAATTATGGCTGTTGTCCAATGTAAACAAACGCAGCCTTGATTATAAAAGTACCGATCACTATCTGTCAACAGGTACTGTATAAAATATAATCGCGCAAGGATGTATTAAATAGGTATTAAAATTAATTCACAATAAATTATTATAAATTATTAATTCCCTTTTTTTGACAATAGACACTTGTTGTTTTCTTTGCTTTTTTCTTTATAAAACACACACACGTATATACATACTATGTATTTATGTATGTTTATATACTTTTTTCCTTTTGACACAATCACTTTAATATCAATTTACTAACCTTATTTAAATTAAGGCTTAAAGAAATCTCCAACAAAAGGGCGCTTATTAATTCCTTGGCAAGGAGTCTTCCTTTCATACGTTGGAGTATGTCCTTCTTAGTGTTTTATCCTCGATTCGAAAAGAGCATGTAATTATTCGGTTCGAAGCGACCAATGTTTCGGCGTCAATCCGATTTGGTTCAGTGTAAATGCACAAAAAGAATAAAACACAAAGAATTATTAGTTTTATAAAAGGAGAAGATTTGTCTTCCTTTATTTATATATTACCTTAAGCATGTATGCACAACAAGAAGTGCTCTTTAAGGCTTCTATATGACGAAAAGTAAACAACTACTTATTTCTAAGTGTGGAGGCTAACAAAGTTTAATTACAGTTAGCGGTTTACTCGTTGAATTAATAATAGTTTTCCATCAAAGATGTAAACTAAAGTAGTAAATCATTAGGATTTACACTTAGAGGAAAAATACCGCAAATAATCGATTTGTACTTAAACAGTAAGTTCTCACAACTGTGTTGAATTTACGCGGAACTCGTCTGTGAAGA